AGACTCTGGCTGCAGTACGACTACAGACTCAGACAAGGCCTTCAGAGGCTGTCTAGACCAAGGACGTCACCATGGTCTTATGTGGTAGTGCAGGTCACTCAGATCAGTATGGTCCCTGGTGGCAGTATGACCCATGGACATCACCATGGCTACAGGCAAGCAGCACAAATCACAGATACCTGCCTGACCTTTGGTGCTAACTTGGACCATGGTCATCAGCTACTCTTTTCATTTTTAATGGTTTTTACATCATTACTTCTTAATATTTAAACATTTCACTTAATTCAAAAATTTACATTACGTTTGTTTGTATTACAACATATATAAGGGGCCCAGAGGATAACTTCTGGGAGTTGATTTCTCCACTGTCATGTGGGTTCTGGGCATTGAACTCAGAATGTCAGGCTTAGCAGCAAGCACCTTTACCCAACAAACCATCTTGCTTACCTGATGGGGAAGTCCTACTGTATATGCAGGACCCACAGGAAAGTGACTGCTAAACTCAAATAGTCCTTTAGGGTTCCTGCTTCATGGAGGAGTCTACGAGACTTTCTACAGGACACAGAAAAATGACTGACAGACTGCTGATGCAGATGGACAGTTTGAAATTTCCTGCTTTGCTGAGAAGTCTTCCAGACACACTATGGCCTATGGGCTGAAGATGGATGTCCCAACATTACAGAGGAACTTCAGGTGACTGTTTAGGTAGCAAGATGTCTCTGTCAATCCTAGTGTTTATATATTATCCTTCTGTGGTCTTTGATAGAGTTGAAGGCAGATAGTTATAATTATAGTTTTCCTTAGTTATGATAAAAGATAAGCTACATATAGAACTTTGGACCCACAAGGATGGGATGGATGATATTTTCTTTAAATCTTGCTGAATGTTGATAAACAAAATAATGTAACTGTGTTCTTACTTGATATCTGTTCTGTTATATATAACTTGACTATGTTAAAGTTAAGACCTTTCTTTTTGTTTAGACAGAAAAGAGGAAATGATGGGGAAATCCTGTGTATATGTCAATAAAGCACTGTTGGCCAATAGGGAAGCAAGATAGGTGGGACTAGGAATCCAGGAGGACTCTGGGTAGGAGAAACACAGGGAGTCACGATGTAGCCGCAATACGGATTAGAAGTTCAGAACCTTTCTCCAGTAAGAGAAATACTTAGCTTAACAATTATGGGGTAAATACTTAAGTCAGAGATAGCCAGTAAGAAACAAGCAAATGGCCAACAGCTTCATAATTAATACAGTGTCCTGTGTGATATTTGGGGACTACACGTGGAGAAAAACCAAAGAGGCTGGAAAGGAAAAGGCTTCACTCTACACTGACCGTAGCATTTCAGCTTAATTAATTAATTAACTAATTAATTAATTAATTAATTTGTTTTTTTGAGACAGGGTTTCTCTGTGTATCCTCCCTGACCGTCCTGGAACTCACTCTGTAGACTAGGCTTGCCTGGAACTAATGGAGATCCACCTTAGTGGGATTAAAGGCATGTACCACCACTGCTGGGCTCTACTTTATTTCTTTTGCATTGTTTCACCTTCTGTTTCTTGAGCCTATTTACATATTTTTTAAAAAATTTAATCCCTCTTTAAGTAAAGGAACACTCAGAAAGACAAACAATATTATACAAGAAAATGAAAACACATAGGGGCTGGAGAGATTTCTGGGTGGCTAAGAGCACTTGATGGTCTTGCAGAGGACATGGGTTTGTTTTCCAGAACTCACACAATGTCTAACAACCATCTGTAACTCCAGTTCCAGGGATTTATAATGCCCTCTTCTGGCCTTTGTGGAATACAAGCATACATGGAGGCAAAACATTCATGCACATAAAAATAAATTTAAAAAATCATAAACCATAATTCTTTAAATCTTTCAATTTTAGCTTCTTATGATAATAATTTCATATATTAGATGATATGCATAATAATATCACAAATACCTGGAACTTAAGTAGAGGACCAACATGACTAAAACCCCTGTTTACTCTTCCTAAATGTATTCCCTTTGCCCACTCTCTTAACTAGTTGCTGAATTCATGGTTTACTATGCCTCTGAATCTCTTCTTGTTTTAATTGCAGGTTTCTTTGAATAATGTATGTACAAATATGCATTATTTAAAAAATAAAATTTAAATATTCCACATAATTCAAAATTACTATGGTGCTATCTCTCTGTGTGGGTTATTCTATAACTTATTTATTTGGCTCACATATATGTAACACATCATTTTCCTGTGCAGATGTATTCATGTACATTTGAACCAAATAAAATTGCAGGGCACTTCATATAGGAAGAAACCATTCCAGTATTGATAGGGCAAACCACTAGGAGAGGAACTCTTAGCAGTTGATGGCTGCTGAGGGAAGGACAGTCACCATCCTTTGGGGACATGGCCATGGTACATTGACCATGCTTCAGTGGATTGCCCCATGCCCATAATAACACTATTAAGAAAAAGAAGACATGAAGTTGGGAGGGAGACAGGGTAGTGGCACTAGGGGAGTTGGAGAAAGGTAGTGGTAGATGTATATGATCATAGAACAGTGTATAAATCTATGAAAATTTCAAAGAACAAATAAAAATATTTTTAAAACATATGACGTATTTCATTTTAACATTACTCCAAAATATGTCAATTCATTATAATGGGCATTTGCTATTTTTAATATTTTTGACTTTTTACACATTATTACAGAAAATGTAATTAAGATGCTATGCATATTTCTTTACAAGAACATAGGTAAGTTTCTCTAAGGATTGGGGAATGAATTGTGTCCTTTCAAAATCTTTATATGGAAACACAAACTCTCAGTACCTCAGAATGTGAGTAGAGACATGTCTTATAAAGGGATGATTGTTAAAATGTGTGCTTGGGATGGGCCCCAATCCAATGAGTCGTGTTTTTAGAAGAGGAGGGTAGGACACACTGAGAAACCTCAGCAACGACAGTACACAGAGTACTATTGGCTTGCATGTCATGCCCAGTGGGGTCACCATGTGAACAGGTACCAGGAAGTTGGTCATCTGTGAGATGGAGGCTTGAGGAAACAATCTGGGGACATCTTGGCCTTGTACTTCTGGCTTCCAGAAAGAGAAAATCAATTTCTGTTTTTAAACCATCCCGTGGGTGGTATTTGGCTATGCCCTCAGTAAATTCTTACTTTGTGGAGAACTTGTTGGATGAGGGATATTTGCAAGCTTCTGCTTCCTACACTCTTTAAAAAATGGTTGAAATAAATTAAATTTCACTCTCCAAGTGTCTTCTGGCTTTGCAGTCTCATCACCACAGGAAGGTCTGACATGGCATTGCATCATGACTTTAATTTCCACTCTCTTCTTAGTGCAGTTCAATTATTTTTCTGGTGCATGCCTTTAATCCCAGCACTTGGGAGGCAGAGGCAGGTGGATCTCTGAATTCGAGGCCAGCCTGGTCTAAGAGTTCCAGGACAGCCTCCAAAACAGTACAGAGAAACCCTGTCTCAGAAAAAAAAGTTTTTTATGAGGCAGGGTTTCACTCTGTGACCCAGGCTGGTCTTGAACTTGAAGGAATCCTCTTGTTTCAGCCTCCCAAGTGCTGGGATTATAGATTTGAGGCAACATACCCAATTAGAACTGAAGAGTTTTAGAAATGTTTACTAGTCGTTTGGCTTTACATTTCATTGTATGCAACTTTTATGAACATGCTTCTTTCTATTTAATTTTCAAAAATTGTCAGGAACAGCATTCTGCTAATGTCATTAGTTTAGAGTTTTTATTTTGTTGCTTCAAAATTTTTACATACTGGTGATTTTGTTGTCTTTTTAGTTATTAGTTTAGTTATTATTAATTCTATTCTTTAATAGCTTGAATTCTCTTGCATTTAAATATTGCTACATGGATTTTGAGACTGAAGACATGAACATTTTAAGGGTATATATTTTTTATTTTAGAAACACTCTTATTTACACATCCATCCCCCCATTCCCTTGCCCTTTCATCCTCCTATGCTTCCCAGAACCCCCAACCCAAAACCCACCCACTCCCTAGGGATGGTGAGGCCCTCCATGGGGGATTATCAAAGTCCATCACATCATTTGGGGGAAGGCCCAGGTTCTCCTTTCGTATCTGGGCTGCAATAGTATCCCTCCATTGGGAATGGGCTCCCAAAGTCCACTTGTGGCCTAGGATAAACCCTGGCTCCACTGTTAGAGGTCCCATAGACTGCCTTGGCCTCCTATCTTGCACCCACATCCAGAGGGCTTGGTTTGGTCCAATGCTGGTTCCCCCGCTTTATGACTAGGGTCTGTGTCCTCTCAGGTCAACTGTTTCTCCAGCACGTGAAGACGTGAATTTTATGCTTTGCTTTTCTTTTTATTTATTTTCCTTTTCTGTATTGAAGAATGATTTTTGTGAAACTTCTTATCTTTTAATGCAGAATTTGTTCAGGTTATGTTTATCAACCATAAAGGTATTTGTATACAATTTGTTCATCTTAGATTTTGTTTTTGTTTTCTTGAAAAATTACATTTTATTTATTTATTTGTGCATGTCTACATATGTGTAGTGTGGTATCACACACATTGAGGTCAGAGGATGACTTGTGGGAGTGAATTCTCTTCTCCTGACATGTCCTAGAGAGCAAATTTAAGTCATCAGGCTTGGTGTATGCACCTTACCTTCTGAGCCAAAACTATTTAAATGTTATCAAATGCCTTTCAAACACAGGTACACACACACAGGTACACACACACACACACACACACACACACACACACACACACACACACACACACCCCTTAATCCAATACAGAATCCTTTGCTCACTTTATGACAACGTATAAACAACTTATTTTTTGATAAAATTTGAAAAATGACTAATGATGTTGAACGTTCACACACTCACGATCTTTTCTAAGGTAAAATAAGAATATAGGGGAAGAGGGGAAATGGGACAGCAGTAATTCTTTTCTAAGCTTGTATACAGCGAAATAAAACTTCCCATACCAAGAGAAGGTGCAGAGAGGGCAAACAGGAAGCCGAGGCTTAAGTTGTCCCCGCGTTGCTGTGTAGGTCTGGAGGTGCGTCTCACTGCTCAGGTGTGGCTTATCTTTCAGTGGCTGATTCCTCATTTTACTCTCAGTTCACATCCTGTTCACTTGAACAGCGCAGTTAGAAACTGCCACGATCACAGGCTGTAGAGGTGCCATTAGCACAGAAGCAACACACATGTCTGCTCATCCCAGAACGGGACCCAACTGCAGACCAAAATAACAGTTGTACCAGAGTCAGCTTGGGGAACCGATGAGTTTTTCTTGGGGTTGGTTACAGGTGTGGTGATGACTCAGAGGCAGCTGCAGTGCCCAGAGCCCACCACCCCAGGTGGCCTCTCATAAGCTGCATCCTGCAGTCAGCCTGACAGGACAAGAAATCTCGAGCTTGGCTGGTCAGATTTTTCTTCCCCAGCAGCTGGTGCATGCTGCCATTTTGGGAAGGGCCTTGAGGATCAGTTTTCTCAGACAGGAGAAGTTTGTTTGCTTCCTGAATCTCGTGAAGCTTCCTTCTCCTTCCTGGAGGGAATCTCAGTCCAGAGGAAGCTGATGGTGGCTGAGAGGGGTCAGATTGCCTGGGTTTGGATTTCAGCATCATTACCTGCTAAGTACCTGTTGCTTGGCAACCTACTTAGCCTCTGTGTATTTCCTCTGAAGCCGAAGAACCCTACAGTAGCCACTTCATATAGGATTATTAAGAGGATTAAGCAAGATAATCCATTTGAAGAATTTATCTCACTGCCTTGCTCAATAAATGTTTGCCAACAGTGCTTTTTGTTGTAGTATTAGAGGGAAGCCAAAGGGGGGAGAAATCCTCCCTCTTTTTCTCTTCACTGAACCTAAGGATCAATTACGGTAAAAAGGCAGAGCAGTTAGGACATTTGGTGCAAAGAGACTGAGGACCTAGTGTTATGAGAACAGACAAAAAGATAGTTTTTAATATTATAAAACTCACATGGCTTTGTTTTACAAAATTTAATATAATTCTATTAAACATAACACAATTTCCAATGATCTGAACACACGCTAAGTAATGTGGAGATTCTACAATGGGGTCAAGGGAGTCTAACTAAGAAGTAGCTGCATAACTGACTTTTGGGCTGTGTCCTAGTTTCATTCATTACTGTGATAAACTATCTGGTGAAAATCAACTTATGGGAGAAAGGGCTTGTTTTAACCACAGTTCTAGGTTATAGTCCGTTAATGCGGGAAAGTTGAGGGAAGAACCTGAGGCAACTAATCACGTCAACACAAGAATAGAGAGAGAAGACATGTTCTTCGCTCTTCTGTATGCGCTATCCTCAATAGAGTCTCTTGTTCATCCTGAATCAGCTGCTTCCTCACTCCAACCCAGTCCTCATCCCCACTCATATATGTTGAATACATTAATAAAGGTCTTCATACTCTATAAATATAAACATTCTCATTTCTGAAATTGACTCGCTGTTATGACTTGCATGTGTAATACCTCCCACAGGAAGCACTGTATTGAGAAGCCTTGGAACTTTAAGGAGATGGGGACTCCCTGGAGGAAATGGGTCCTGGGGGGTAGGGGTGGAATAGGCCTTATTGGCTAGGGACCATCCAGAACTCTCCGTTTCCTGATTCTAGACAACGTGACCAGCTGCCTTGCCATAGTAGTTACTTTTTTGTTGCTGTGATAAATCCCACAACTAAAAGCAACTTAGGAGAGAGGCCTTATTCTGACTTATGGCTGCAGGGAGATAGCGTTCATCATGATGGTGAAAGCACTGTGAGAGTCAGAGTGAGCATGCGTGGTGGTAGCAACCTGAGGCTGGCTAGTCACATTTTCACACACAAAAAGGAGAGAGAGAGAGAGACAGACAGAGAGAGAGAGAGAGAGAGACAGACAGACAGAGAGACAGAGAGACAGAGAGAGAGAGAAAGAAGAAGTGGAAGTCAGGATATAAACCCTCAAAGCCCCACACCTCAAAATGTACTTCTCTCAGCACCCTAAAAGATTCCATAACCTCCCCAAAGATCACAATTTTCATCCAAACCAGCATACTCATGGTTGCACTGGTACAGTTGCTTCCCCTGCCATGACTGCTACCATGCCCTCCCTGCCATGAAACTGTGGACCAGAATAAAGCCTTCTACCCTTTAGCTGTTTCTATGGGGGTATTCTTTCACAGAGGTGAGAAAAGTAACCTGTACACTTGCCTTTCCATCTACATTGTGAATCTTATGTGGGCAGCAGCCATGTTTTTCTACTGTATTCTTGCTATTTGGTCCTGAGAAAAACATTGAGTGTATAACCAGAGTCCCAGACGATGAGGTTGGAGAAATGGCTCAGTGGCTAAAAGCACATCTGCTTGTGCAGAGGACCCAAGCTCAGGCTCAGCACCCACGTTGGGTGGTCCACAATCACCTGTAACTTTAGCTCCAGGAACTCTACCACTCTTTTCTGACATACAAGGACACCCATACACATGTGCACATATAAACGCACAGATACACCTCACACAGAAATAAAAAAATACATCCTTCGATATAATCCCAAACAAGGAAGGTCACAGAAGAGGAGCCAGGAAGAATAGTAGAGAGAGACAGGGGAAAGAGCCTCAAAATGCCATTGCAACACTGAATTCATTGCAACTGTAGCTACCAGCAATGGGCCCACACAAGACTGGTCATGTCACCAGTCAGTCATGGAATGGGGAGAGGTCTGTGGAGCCAACCATTTTCCTCTGAACTACTGACTATTGATAGGCATTGAGAACAGAGGGGAACTCTGTCTTTACTTGTGTCCAGACTGCTGAGCCCACCAGGCTCCAATGGATGTGCATTTTGGGGATTTGAACTCAGATCCTCATGCTTGTGCAGTAAGCACTCTTAACTCTCTGAGTCATCTCCCTCAGCCATCTCCCTGAGCTCATAACACTCAGAGTATCACGTATCCCAGGATGGCCTCCTACTCGACATATAGACAAAAGTAACTTTGAACTCCTCATCCTCCTGCCTCTATCTCTGGAACACTAGGATTTCAGGCATGTGCCGCTATGCCAGCTTTGTGCCAAGCATGGCTTATGCTGAGCTTGGAATTGAACCCAGAACCTTGTGCATGCTGGGTAGGCAGTCTATTAACTGAGCTATATTACCAGCTTCTATTTTCGTTCTTTTAATTGTCATAAACATTGCATATACTCATGAGGTAAAGCATGGTGTGTCTTTTTGCACATATTTTGCCTAATGATTAACTTGGGGTCTTTAGAATGTCTGTTACCCTGAAATATTTAGTATTTCTTTTGGTTATTTTGAAATAAGAAACACCAGAAGCTGCAGAGACTGGAGGTATGGGGAAACTGAATAAGATGACCTGCTTTTAAACTGTTACAGGACAATGCTATAATGCAACTTGGCTACATGGTAGCCACAAAGATGTGTAGATGACATTAGACAATGAACTTTGAAGGCAGAAGCAAGCTTGCATTCACACTGTCTCCACCATTCACTCATGGTGTGACCTGGAATGCTGTATTCAGTGTCTCTGCTCCATTCCTTCACCTGTAACATTGAAATCTCAGAAGTATCAACTATGGAGGGAGGACCACTGGAAGGAATGAATGAAGAATATGGGCCACACAAGTGATGGTTGAAGTAAATAGGTGAACTCGAAGCGGAAGGCTTGGAGGGATGTGACCCAGGAAGGCTCACATGAGAACACTCAATAGGTGGGTAGAGCAAGTTGCATGGATTGCTGAGTCGCCTCTGCTACAGTCCACCAGTGTCTTAGACCAGAGCTGCTATCTCAGGTGCTGAGGGGTGAGATGTAGAGGCAGAGGTTCTGTACTTATGTGCACAGATGACACCCATGGGGGAAGAAGCAGCAAGAGAAATTGCTGTTACTAGGCTAGCCAGCATGTGGCAGGCATCCTATGATTTGGCTAAAGCTTAGAATTTAGAGCCTTCATACATTCTTCTCTCTTTAAAAACATGCCACATGATCTAGGCGCTAATATCCATTCCCATTAGTTGCTGGTAGATTCCCCGCTGCTCGGCAGATGTGATATATTTTAACCCAGCCTTTAGCTTTCTCTAATCTCACTTCATCAATCCCTCTATGCCCAGGCAAGTCTGCCTTCATTTGGCAGCCGTGACAGGGTTTTCATTTCCGCCATGTAAATCACTTGTTTATTACAGTAGGGGTCCCTAGTCTTTGGGAAAGAAGCTGACAGATATCCTCAAATAGGGCTTCATGAATAATAATGCCTGAGAAAGCCCGAGATGAGTTTGGATGTCGCCTCTTTGAAATTCATACATCATAAGGGATGCCATTTAAACAGGAAATGTAGATGGTGTCCTGTGTAAAGACCGAGTCTGAAATACGTTTTCTTTACAAAACTGATCATTCCAGCTCAGAACAAACAAGAGCAGACAGCTAAGGTGGGAGGAGGTGATTCCCAGGATGTGTTTGACTTGAGCCTAGAATTTGTTTTTCTGATTGTACTCAGGCTTTTTAGGTCTCTGGTTTTAACTTTTAATTTGCAGTTCTGTTTCTAGAAAACTTTTCTCAGCTTCCCCCCTTCAGAGACAGTAAGTCTACTACAAAAGGTGCAAAATGGAAGGTGGAAGGACAGATATTCAAAGCAAGTTAACTCACTTTCACATGTTTTGGGAGACAAAACAGAAATGCCAGGAGTGTTTATTTCAGTGCCTTCACTTCCCAAATAGACTAAAGGTTCTGAGACTTGATTGCACTTGTAACTACTCGGAGACGCCCAGAACTTGCCTGAGAGCCTCTGCTATCGGAAGATGCCCAGGTGATCCTAATGTGTAGTAAAGTTTGAGTCACTGGTGTATAGAGAAGCCTTTTCCTTGCCATCTGCTTTGGTTTTCCCCCACCAGTCGCCTGGGCTCTGCCGCATTGTAGTCCCCAAATAACACACAAGATGCTGTATTAATTATGAAGCTGTTGGCCTTGCTTGTTTCTTACTGACTAGCTCTGACTTAAGTATTTACCCCATAATTGTTAGTCTAAGTATTTCTCTTACCAGAGAAAAGTTCTGAACTTCTTACCCTTATGGCAGCTACATCTTGACTCCCTGTGTTTCTCCTACCCAGAGTCCTCCTGGACTCCTAGTCCCACCTATCTTGCTTCCCTATTGGCCAACAGTGCTTTATTGATATATACACGGGACTTCCCCATCACACTGGTATATATCATGCCAATCACATAGACTTGGGCGTTTGTGAAGAACAAGCCAGATGACCCAATGGAAGTATTCCTACAGAGAAGGTTGAGTTGACTCCTACGAGAGAAGCTACTGAGAGCTGGAAGGAACCGGGCGACACCCAGGTACCGCGGCTGGAGGTTAAGTTTTCAACACACTCATTGTGTAGGTCGTAGCTCAGCCCATAACCATGTGTAATTTGCATTGAGCTAGCAACCTGACAAGCACTTTCAACCACTCTACCTGCTTTTCTTATTTATTCTTCCACTGGATTAGATGTAGAAATTTACTGTAAACACAGACTCGGTCAGTGTTTTAGCTTCTGATGCTTTTTGTATCTTCTGCTTTAAATAGTTTC